GAGAAGGTGGACTGAAGACAATGATCAAGCGATTTGTCTCCTGCCATCCTTCTCCAACCTCTGACAAACAGAGGCCAGGGACACCAATTCTATCCCCTTGCTAATAACCTTTTATGGACCTAACCTCCATGAAATTATCTAGCTTCATCTGGTGTTTAGCAGGCTAATGGGGTCACCGTTTGAACTCTGGCTGACAAGTTCTATGCTGTACCTTTCCTGGCATGTAGCCTGGCTGGTAATTATAACATGGGTCAGGAGAACATCTGAGCTCAAGACCCTGGCGTGTGAAAGGCCTGACACTGCCGTGTTCCTGGCCCGGGTTCTGACACAGGCAATTGGCAGAGCTGCAGCATGGTCACCCATACGTGCTTTGACCTCCCATTCTGCTGTTGCCCAGCAGGCCAGAGACCATGCAGCATGGGGCAGAGCCATGCTGCCACCAGCCAAGCTGTGAGCTCTGCCCCCTCTCCACAACTCAGCCTGGGTAATTGTCTAATTGGAAGGAATGTGAACAATTCCTTGCGGAAGGAAAAATGGCAACTGGCCCTTTGTAACTTGTCCGGTGAGCTGGGCTGCTCATGTCCATTCTAGTACCGCACACCTACCCCTCTGTCAGAGCAACATGGCCAGAGGGAAGTGAAGGGCAGTGGGTGAGCAGGACCCTAGATTCTGTGCCATGGAGGTGGGACTTCTAGGAGGCACCTGGACTGAGCTGACAGGCGCTGCTAGAGGGAAACCATCCGGCTGCCCACAGTCTCCAGCAGAACATGAGATTCCTCCTGGATTGTTCCCTGCTGGGACTTAGAAGCTGGTTCACTAAGTCCCTTGGTGAATCCAGCCCCAACTATTCCCGGGGATGAGTCCCCAGGCTCTCTGCAGGGTCTGTGACTCAGGGCGCATAGTGCGAGTTTCCTCCCATCCTTGGGGCTCAGACGTTGTTTTCAAGGGAAGCTGAGACGCGGGATCTCAAGGTGGCTGCTGCCAATCAAAGAGCACTGGGTACTCATCCACGGGAATAGTTGGGGCTGGATTCACCAAGGGACTTAGTGAACCAGCTTCTAAGTCCCAGCAGGGAACAATCCAGGAGGAATCTCATGTTCTGCTGGAGACCCCCCCCCCCAACTCCTCTCACTTCCTGGGCCATCTGCTCATCTGCCGCTCTGCCAGGAAGTGACCAAGGTGAAGGATAAACCCAAAGTCAAGATTCCCAGTGGAGTGAGGGGGAGGAAATATATGAAACTTAAGGGCCTTTCCTTATTACAAGGAATCACAGTGACACTGACTCTTTCATTCTGCAGCTTCCCGGTCTCAGGCTCTGTGGATGGGAACAGCTGTGGTTGCATCAGAGGCAGAAGGATTGAGTCTCAGAAGTGCAGTGGTAGTTTCAGATGGATTTGCCAGAAGGAAGCTGCTGTGATATAACAGTGAGACGAAGGAGCCGTGTTTGCCTTCTACAGCCTTGACTGAATTAACAAACTAGTCTCCTGCCTAACCAAATACTCACAATTCTATATATTTTTTGTTAGACCCTAAGCTATCACAGGACTTCTCATTGTTTTAATCTTTGTGGTGCTTTACAGCAAGACGGGCTCTGACTCTTCTTTCATGACACAGTTTGCCTCTGAAATGAAGAGTCCACTGTGTTTCTGCATTCCAATATTGATTTAAAGGATTGATCTAGGCTAACAAGACAACCCCCTCGTCCTGTGGCTGTCTGCAAAATCCACAAAATGAGGAAATCTATAGGAAGCAGCAATCTCTCAATTTGCATCATGCAAACAGGCAGGCAGTCTGAGATGCACAATACACAGCGTTTACAGCTGTTTGGATTTAAAATTTAAATTATTTATTTGTGCATGTTTGTTAGTATGGCCTGCTGGAGCTGGAACACAGCAGGGACAGCTTCACTATGATCTGGCTCTAGCTGGAGCAAAGAGGGGTAACCACCCAACCAGTTAATCATGGTGTTCTCCCTTTTTGCGCCCAGATATGGTGACTCAGCCTTGGAAAGATGGGGTGCAGTGTGTATTTCCATTATATGGGTACATGTACCCATCCACTCCAGCCCTTTCCCAGGACCCCGCTGGACCCAGTTCCATGCATAGCTGTGGTCAGCGATGGATATACTCAAGCCAGCACAAGTCAATGTGAGGGTCTCTCTAGGCTTCACTGTCACTAGACCAGCCACACCTGGGAGAGGACAGGGAAAGGAAAAGCAGCATTGGTTCCATTCTCATGCCCAAGCACTGAAGGAAACTCCCCAGCGAGCAGGGCCGGGCAGGTCTGTGGCTGGGGAGAGACTGAGGCTGCTAGAATCTGGGAGTTTGCATTGAAACAGCAAGGCCTGGGCAGGGATTTGCATGCAAGTTGCACCCAGCGGCTATAAGGTGATAAAAGGTCATTTAAAGGGGGAAACGTCTGGTGGAGTGGCCTACAACATGTCATCACATGTGGAATGGGATGAGGAGGTCACAGGGCTGTAGGAAAAGCCTTTCCGCTGGGTGCTATGTGCTTTAGGACAAAGCTTAGCAGAGTCTGGTGTCCTCTAGTAGCAGCTCTTGGGAATTGATGGAGAATTTTAATCCGAGGGTTCAGAAGGGAGCCTATAACCCCTACCAAATCAATTCCAGATAACCTTCTTAAGCAACCAGCTTTATTCAGGAATGCATTCCAGGGCAAAAATCTCCAGGATACTCTCAGGAAAAGTTTTTGCAACTTCTCAAACAAAAGGCAATGTCTTTTGCACTGGCTTACATGGTAATCACCCCTTTCCCACTGACCACTTACAGCTGCATGCATATACAGGTCATGCCTTTGCACCAAATTCCCTCCAATCATTACCTACCCCCTCACATTCCCTTCTCAGGCCTTACAACAGGTTCAAACCAGTAAAACAGGTTTAAACCAGTTTCACCTATCCCCTCCTGGTTGTATACCTGTGTCCAAGCACGTACCTTTTTACAAAGACCAGACTTAACATCCAGGTCACACAGAGGTCATACTGACAACAAATTAATTTTATCCTTGAGAACAAGGGCGGCCCTAGACTAGCTGCCAGCCACTGGCACCCTAGGCGAACCATGCAATCGGCGCCCCCCACCTCCAAACCCCTCAATGATATTGCACCACCATTTGGCGCCCCATTTAACTTGGCACCCTAGGCAACTGCCTAGTTCACCTGTATGGACCGCCCGCCCCTGCTTCAGAATGGACAAGAAATAGAACTGGTACACAGACACAGTCGGTAGAAATGAACTTCTGTGGGGATGAGTAAAGGGGAAAGTGATTCCTTTCTGGAAGGGTATGTCTACACAGCAAAGTTATTTCAAAATAACTTTCCTACCATCTGCACAGCCAAACCAAATTAATTTGAAATAGCAGAGCACTTATTTTGAATTTGGTAAATCTCATTCCATGAGGAATAATGTGAAATTCAAAATAGCTATTCTGAAATAAGTGCTGTGTAGACACTTATTTTGAAATAGGGGGCCTCCAGCCTTCCCAGGGTGCCCTGGTGGCCACTCTCCCTTCCTGTTCAGTCAATATAACTTTATTGGTATAACAAACTATATAATTTTTGCCAAAGTATAAAAAGAAATGGACATTTCAAGTGTCTGTCATAGGTCAGTACAATTGACCTATAATAGGGCTACACATTGTGTTTATGATTTAGTCACATGACTATTTGTGCAAGTAGGTCTGAATCAATGCTTCCATTACAGCCAGCTGGAAGGGGAAAGGACTCCTGGGTGTGGTTATACTCACTCCATTGTTTGGTCCTGTAAGGTATTCAACTGTTATTAAGTAAACACAATTCATGCTGGAATGGGGAAAAATACTGGGTGTGGTTATACAGTTCAGTCAGTTTCTATAGGCCTGATATTCGATTGTTAGAATGGTATTTTGCCTATGTAACTAATTTGGTTGTGGGGTCACAAACCATGTTAACCCTAAATATAGGAATTATAAAACATGACCACCAGTGCTTGCAGGAGAGACACTGAAATTGCAAAGATGGAGCCACTGGCAGAAACAGTGGTTGATGGGAGCAGCCAAAAGGATGGCTGGCAGGAGTGAAAGGCTGGCAGGTGGCCCGTGGAACAAGCAGTGAGTGGCCGGCAGGTGGTTAGCAAAGTGGCGTGGAAAATCAGCAAGCAGGTGGATGGCAAGTGACCAGCGGAGTGGGTGAGGTGCCTTCTACCCACACCCCACGATGGGAGGTGAGCTCTGCAGATCACCTCTTAACTCTAGTTTGTCCTGACCAAGGACCGCAACTGAGAGTGGGGTACAAAGAAGAGTTGGGCATGTGAATGGGACATTTACATTGCTGGACTTGTGAGCCTGAGGGGCAAAGGATATTGCCCAGCCTACTTGAGCTGGGGTGTTTACTCGTGGTTTGCTTATGAACTTTGTCTGTGGTGTTTTCCCAAGTTAATGCCACGTTACTACTCTCTCTGGGTATGTCTACACTACCCCCCTAGTTCGAACTAGGGGGGTAGTGTAGACATACCCAGAGGGAGATCAAGGACATGGTAGAGATGGGTGTAATTCGCCCTTCGGAGAATATGTGCTTCTCTGGTAGCCCTAATTCCCAAAGCAGATGGAGAAATCTGCTTTTGCATGGACTACTGTAAGCTGAATGCTGCCACTTGCCCAAACATCTATCTCATGCCACACCTCTAAAAAAAAAAAAGTGGAAAAAGCAACACAAATTGCAGCTTGCAATTTGCGTAGCTTTTTCTGGAAGAATTGTGTAGTGTAGACACAGCCTGAGAGAAAGCCAGTGGGCTGTCGCAGAGAAGGAGTGTTATGCTATTGTGTATGCTCAAGAGTAGCTATGACTATACGTTCCCCATTGTTCTCTTTGGATTCCCTCTGATTGTTTTCCTAACACCAAGCAAAATGAAGGTTGGGATGGGCAGTGGGGGGAGAGCTTTGCCTCAGGGAGGCAGATTCAAGTGACCTCTTCCTTGGAAAAGGGCATATGTTATATTTTTTTACTTATACTTGATGGGGGCAGCAAACCAACTGTCATTCTTTTGGGTCTCAGGGAAACTGAGACTGGACAAGTTTGTCTCTGGGAGTTACGGAGACAGGTACTTACAGAGTTTATTCTGCTACCCAGCCCCCATATCCACACTTGAAGTGCCAAGTTGGAGAATTAAGCCATGACAAATGTCCAAGATGACAATTAGGAAGCCTTCTTCATACTTGAGGCTAGAATTGAATTTGCAGAGTTGATGAACCCTGGAAACAGTGAGACACAAACAAGAGATGATGATAGGTAGCCTGACAAGGGGCATCAATGGAGAACTGTTGAAAATCCTGAGCTTAACACCATTCAAGGGTGAATGATGGTTGCATGATACTGAACACCCAAAGACTCCAATGACAACTTACAGACATAATGGGGGGCTTTTGCCATGGGACCCTGGGATTCGGTCCTGAAATCCAAGCCTCAGAGGAGCCCCGAATCACAACCAACCAAGCCCACCTCCTCACTCATGCGCAATCTTTATTGGCCCGTAGGTGAATGTAAATGCTGCTTTTCATACTGTACTTTCAATAGACACGGTGTGCTTCTTAGAAGCAAAACGTATCTAAAGCTGGGTTGGAAGTGCTAGACAGGAGCAGTTTCACAGGTAACAGTCTGGCTTCTCTGGGGCTAATCTTGTTATTTCTCTGCCCCCTTTCACTGCAGCCTTCTATGCCTCTGTAAGCACATCAGGTTTGTTGCAGATCCAGCGTCTCTCACTGGTGCATTGCAGGCTGTTGATTCTGTTCCCATCCAGATACGTGCAGTCATCATCTCCTGCTATTGGAAACCTGCAAGACAGAAGCCACAAATAGGAGCTGGGCATTTCCCATTGGTCACAGGCAGGGGGCAACACTCACGCAATGCACGGAGCTGCTGCATTCCCAGCCCCTCAGTTCCCCTTCCCATACCAGCCCCAGGGCCCTCTCCCAGTCCCTTCCCCCCACTCCAGCTAAAGGCAAGGGTCTCAGATGAACTGGCCTCCATGGAGCATTGATAATGGGAGGATATTCTCATCCCAGTTCCTGCTCTGCCCACACAACTGGGTTTGGACAGGCCCCTCCAGGGCTGACTCTCTCCCCCAAATTGCCCCAGGCACGGGTTCCAGGAGAGTGGGCATGCGGTGAGGAGCAGCAGTGACACCTCACAGAAGAGCTGGGGCCAGGGCACCCCAGGCACTTCCCATCAGCTCTCAGGCTGAGTTCTTGGCAGGACAGGCCACGCTTTAGGGAGGAGGGTGCTAAAGCGAAACACCAGCAGCACAGAAGCAGGAGCACAGACCCAGAGGCCATGGTGTGACCCAGCCACTCACAAAGAGTTTCCCCATCAGAGCTGCAGGCCAGCACTTCCCACCTGGTTACAGGGTGGGATCAAGGCCCATATGCAAACCCTCTCACTCTCCTTATTCAGTAGCCAGGTGCTGGGCTGTATGAAGGATTAGCACTACTCTGGGCAGGCTGGGTCTCCCCTCACACCATTCATCTCTGGCTCCAGATGGGTCATGATCTGTCCCAGAGATGGGCCAACTTAGCCCCCACCAGAATCACCCCAGCAGATTTCTGATGGCATGACAATGGTGCACCCAGATGCCTTCTTCTGGCATGGACCCCATGGGGTGGCAGAACATAAGAAAGCATAAGGACAGCCATACCCAGTTAGATCAAAGGTCCATCCAGCCCAGTACCCTGTCTGCCCACAGTGGCCAGTGCCAGGTGCCTCAGAGGGAGAGAACAGAAACGGAATCCTCAAGTGAGCCCTCCCCTTTCACTCATTTCCAGTCAAACAGAGGCCAGGGACATCATTCCTCTCCCTGCTCCCTCCCCCTGTTCACCGCTTTCAGCTAAATCCCTGAACCCAAATGTAGCAAACGACATATGAAAAAGAACCTTCTCTTAAAATTTATATCTAAGGAAAACGGAGCATGTTTTCCACTGCATGCCACATTGCGAAGACTGGACATGCAAAAGGTACCAAATTAAAAGCACCAAATTTGGGAATAAAAAATTGTCAGTCACAGGGGTTTATAGGTTTATTTGCAAAAAGCCTGTAGTAAGAGCGAGTCAGTTGTTCTGCTTAATACAACATTACATATTATGGACTATGTGTGATACAGCCCTTCTCTGTTTTACATCTTCTTAATCAGTATTTTTAAGACGATTTCATATTTTAAATGTACTCGTGAGTCTTCATAAGCTTGATTACTACATATTAAGCACACTGAAACAACGATAGTATTTTAAACTAGCACTTGTACCCAGCATTCCTCGGATCTTTAACTGAAGTAATTATTTATATTTTGAAAAATAAATGACAAATGTACATGTTTTATTTCAATGACTGTAGTTTTCAAAGATGAAGGGAAATGAGGGCTGGAGTGAGATTTTGGAGGTGAGCAAAGGTTGGTTCAAGGTAGGGGGCAGGGAGGAGTGGCAGGACTTACCAGAGCCACCCGTGGCAGCAAGAATGATGGTGCTCTGGCAGTGACGCCTACCGTGGGGACAGCGCCCCCCCCCCCCATTGCCTGCAGGCTGTCTGGGGGGCAACAAGCTCTGGAGGCTATCTGCCCCTCCTGCAGTGCCCCACTCCCAGCCTGCAGGCTGTCAGAGGTTAGGGGGGAAAGCTCTAGGGGCTGCCCCTCTTCAGCCTGCCTGGTAGGGTTGCCATATGGTTTCAGAAAAAATATTGAACAAAACAAAACAAAAAAAGACACCAAGAGTTGTTACCTTTCCATTTTATGGGAAACATTCCCATTCCCAGCACTTCCCATTTTCTAGACCAGTGGTCTCCAAACTTTTAAAGCACAAGATCACTTTTTGAATTTAAGTCAGTCCAAGATCTACCTCAAATAGGGTTGGAGACACTTGAACAAAAACAAAACAAAACAAAACAAAAACCAAAAAAACATGGCGGGGGGGGAAATTGTTTGAGGGAAAAAAAACACACCAAAAAGAGTGTCACTGCATTTTGAATTTAAGTCAGTCCAAGATCTATCTCAACTAGGGTTGCCAGACACTTTAACAAAAACAGAAACAAAAAACAAAACAAAACAATAAAACTCAAAAAACATGGCGGCGGGAGGGGGAGGGGGGGGAGAAATTGAGGAAAAAAACACACAAAAAAGAGTGCCACTGTGCCTTTAAATCCCAACGCTCTACACTCCCTGCCCTTGACAGATCTGGCATGGGAGGAATGTCTGAGGAAAACAGAAAATACTGGACATTTTACATGTCCGGTCTTTTCTGTTTCTTTTTGCCAGACAGAGGCCGCACATACCAGACTGTCTGGGCCAATACTGGACACATGGCAACTCTAACCTCAAGCCCAAATACCCCAGCCCCGCCCTTTCTTCAAGGCCTGGCCTCTGCTCCACCCCTTTGCCAAGGCCCCGCCCTCCTCACTCTATGAAAATGGGGTACAAGGGAGAGGGACAGAGTGACATCAATGCCCCCCTTGCCTCTGTATCCCAGACCCTGCACAACAAGTAGGAGGCTCCCAGGGGGCAGCTTTGAGCAGGAGCACTATGGGCAGTGGTATGAGGGGCAGCTGAAGTGCTGGCAGTTGAAAGTATCCCAGCCAAACCAGTCAGGATCACCTATGAAAGGCTAAAAATCTACCAGCAGATCATTACTTTTTCTTGGAGCACCTAGTCCTGGATACCACAAAGGAACAGGCAATTCTTGGTTAGTCCTAAGTGGTGCCCGGAGTCTGCCTCAAGTGGTGAATGTAACTGAATTGCTCTTCATTATTCTCACTTCACATACAAGAATGATACATGCACCAAAATAGGATTTATAGATTGAGCAGCTATAACTTTAAAATTGACAGTGCATACGAGGTGTTTTATCCAAAGCTTCTTTTAGTTGTGTATATTTGTATCCATAAGTCAATTTCATAATGCATGGCGGGTTTTCATCACATTTCCATTTAGTTAGCTTCTAATATTTGTGCATTTCCCCTTTTTGAAGTTAAATGCTACTGTGGTGCCTTTCTCCGGCATTTCCCCCACTACAAGGATGCTAAATTTATGGTTACTACTGCAGAGCAATTCAGTTACATTCACCACTTGAGGCAGACTCTGGGCACCACTTACGACTCCTCAAGAATTGCCTGTTCCTTTGTGGGTTCCAGGACTAGGTGCTCCAAGAAACAGTAATGAATGGTGCCTAAAAACTGTATCTCTGCCTCCCATCCAGAGATGACATGAACGCAGACACTATGGAAGTAGCTGAAATCCTCCATTATTATTGGGTTTTCTGTCTTTGTAGCCGCTCTCATCTCTGACAGTTTCACAGTTCTGGGCAGCAGCAGTCCCCTACGGCAAGATTTCTATTCTTCAGATGGAATTTCTATTCCTACAGACATTATCATCTTTGACTCTATGGTTTCTTTCACATACAGAGCCCTTCCCCCACCAGCATGACCTACTCGGCAGTTGTTTCAGTGCTGACAGTCCAGGGTCAACCCTGCTATTGGCTCAAGTGGGGGTTGGGTATTAGATCCCACCCAGATCCCACTGAAATCAGGCTGGAAATGTGGTCTGGGCATTGTCTACTCTACTGTTTCTCAGTTCCAATGGCAGCTGCAGGCACTTAGCATGTGTGACTATCAGATATATTTAATGTTACAGATTCAGCAGCATTATTACAGCTAGACCAGTGGTTCTCAAACGAGTGGGGTCACCAAGTGTTGGCATTAGACTTGCTTGGGCTTTGGGCCGAAGCCTGAGCTCCACTGCCTGGGGCTGGGGCCAAAGCATGAGGCGGCCCCCCTGGGTGGTGGGGTTTCGGTTATAGGCCCTTTGTTTGGGGATGAAACCCTTGTTCCCAAACCTGGAACAGTGGTGTTCGGGCTTTGGGTCTCCCATCCTGGGCCACAGGCCTTGGGCTTTGGCAGGAGCAGCCCGAGGCCGCCAGGAGCGGCCCGAGGCGGGCTGCAGTAGCTGGCGCCCTAGGCGGGGCAGTGCAATCGCCCCCCCTGCCTGCATGGCCGTCAATGGCCATGACGTCATCATTGGGCGCCCGAGCCAGCGGTGCCCTAGGCAACTGCCTAGCTCGCCTAGGCTCACGGGCCGCCCCTGGGCTTTGGTTCCCCCTCTAAAGGGCAGTTTGGTGGTTTTTGTTGTCAGAAGGAGGCTGCTGAAGTGAAGTTTGTAACCCTGATCTACACAGATCTGAAGGCTTCACCCATCACTAATACACCGAGCATACAAGAACCTGAGCACTCTCTGGCTGTTCCATAGCACTGATGGAAGGGGGTGTCAGGCTGAATTTGGGATCTCTGACACCAGGATCTCAATGCTCAGGGAGCTCACAGAGGGGAGGAAAAGACTCACAGGCTGTTGAATTCAGTGCCATTGGTCCATTTCCAGGGCTGCCCCCGGGCCCTGCAGAGTCCGATCCAGTAGTCAGAGCTGCCACTGTAACGCAGCATAAAAGCCTAGAACAGCAGAAGTAGTGGAGGTGTCAGAGCCCTGTTTAGTATTGTGTGAGGTTACGACTGATCAATGTTATAACATATATACAAGTGTATGTTAATTAGTGCTGACTTGTAGGATTATAAAAGTTAAAGGATTAGGTTAATTAGAGTTGATTTGTAGGATTGCAAAGGGATACCATGGCTCAGTATTTCGGGGAACTAAGGAGCAGACATAAGTAGATAAGCTGAAATGCAAGAACCCGTAGCCTGAAGCCTGCAAAAATTTAGCTTGGCTATTGTAGGACAAGAAACGATGATTTAAGACACTGAGTGAGAAATAACCCGAAAGCTTAGGGGGAAAGAGGTGCCGACAGGTAGTAACAGTGCAAGTACAGCCAGGAAGGCTAAATTTAAATGATAAAATCATGTAAACACAAATATTGTTTCTAACATGTGCCTTAGCCACAAGACAAAGGCTGCACAACAGTGTCCATGTGAACAGTCTATAGAATGTGTGTCCCTTGTGTTTCTAGGGGACACAGACCAGTTCCTATGGGCTCTAAATCCAGAGCAAAAATAAAGATAAATTGAGACTGTAACCACCAGAGATAAGCCCAAGGCAGCACAATTAACATTCAATCAAGGGCTACAGCCCGACCCTGCTGCTCCCCAGCGCTGGGGTGGGAATCCCAGGGGTGCACAGAGGGGTCTGAATGTTCTCAGGGGGTGGCTGGAGATTTGCCCCTCCCCCTGCCCAGTGCTGGGTAATTCAGTATTAACCCTCTCCACCAAACCCAGCTCCCTCCACCCCAACTTCCCGAGGGCTGGGGCAGCGCTTGGGAGCTGCCGGGTCCAAGTTCCCACTGCTTGCCCCCCATGCCGGGCCAGGCTCTGTGTGAAACCCTCGCCTGTTGGGCAGCTGGGCTCCCTCCAGCCCTCCCCAGGGAAGGAGAGAGATGATCAGAGCAGGGGATGCTGGGAGGGGCCAGGACTGAGAAAAAACTCTCTCATCCCATCCCCCACCATCAGCTGGCTGCCCTTTCTCCTATCCAGGACGGAGCTCTGGCTCTTCAAGTTGAGCTGGGATTTCATCCCCTTTCCGCCTCATGAAGTACACCAGACACCTGAACCAGCCCAGCCCTGGAGAGGGATGGTCTTCTATGAAGAGGGCCAAGAAGGAGCGATTCCACACTGGAGCGAGTGGTCACACCTGACACCAAAGGAGCCCTGAGCCCAGCCAGGCCAGACATGCAGGGCTGGAAAGTCCATTGGCTCTGGGCTCCCAGCTGCTCCACAGCCACAGGGCAAAGCCCAGGCCCTGCTCCTGCAGCCGCTGAGCCCAGGCCAGTGCAATGAGAGAGTCTCACCATTTCCTTCAGGGTTTCAATAGCAGCCAGAGAGGCCCCCAGGGCAGAGCAGTTGCTCCGGCTGTCGGTCCAATTCCTTTCAGCCTCGGAAAAATGGTAGCATTTCCCTCGGTACCCGACCCAGTCGTCCGGGCACGCGGGGCCCGGCACACGTGGCGAGCGCCCAGGTAACGACGCTGAAATGAGACAGGAACACCTGGGTAAGGGGGGACCTGCCTGAGAGTGGGCAGAGAACTCCTAAGACAGCTGAGACTCCTCTGCACCCGAAAGGGGCTGAGAGGGTGTGAAGGAACCAGGGGGACGCTGGGAATCCAGCCCCCGAGGGGGGTTACCTGTCCCTGGTGTCACTGGACCACTGTCTTGGTTCACATTCAATAAGGATGCAGCTGCTGTTTGTCAGAGAACTGGGCCAGGCTGCGGGTCAGAGCAGGGGGTGGGCAGGGCAAGGGGGTGGCAGAGGGAAGTGGCTGTGGTCAGGGCTGGCAGCAGG